AAGGATTTTTAAACATCTCCAAGATGTCTCATGGACTCTCAAACACTTCTACAGTGTCCCACTGAGAATTTCCAAAAAGTTCACCAGAATCTTCAGAAATTCTGTAGAATTATTTTTCTTATTTAGAATTAAGGAAATGTATACACAGGGTATAATTTGATCAATCAACAAGATTAACACACTTTCGTTGCAAGAAAGAAAAAAACACGTTTGAAAGGTATCTTGTGCAAGGTCTAACTATATGTCCTGTTGGTTTCATATTTTTTGTTCAGTTTCTTCGTTTTGAAAGAACCAACCACGTACGAGCGTCGATGCTGTTTCGACAGCAGTTCGTTCGACGAAATTGCGACTAGATATCGTTGAGCAACGAAGAGGATCGTGCTTACTTTCATTTCACGTAACGTCCATCTTGTACGCACGAAATTGACCTGGAATCGCGTTAATGCTTTCGCGGTCAATTAACGAGCGAGTCCACATTTCATCCCCATTCGGCGAAGAAAAACCGGTACATGATGCAAAAACGGGCCCGTAAAACGTAACCTCATGAAACTGACTCTTTCTTCAGCTGTTTTCCTCAAGAATTACCCAGATAATTCTAGAATTACACAAGTACTTTTCCTCCTGGATTAGAAATTGTTTTCTTATTTTAAAGGAGAAATTTACAATGTTCTATACAGCACTCAGGTGCAGTGAGATCTTCTAAATGAAATTACCATTGACCATTAGGTAACAAACAGTAATTACAGCATCTAGTAATTATACCTGCAGCAATAATCTCTGAAACTCATGGAAATTACTGTCCATAGGTGTCTTAGAAAGCAATATACTTAAACAGTAAAATTACAGCTATTCAAGAATCATTTCTCTGGACCAATGATGGATCGTCTGTCGCTGTTGAGATTGTTCATAAGGATTGTTTATGTCTAATGGATGGATTTCGCAAGGGAACGCGTTTCAATCTGGAGTTTTCCTAGCTGAAAAATCTATGAAACGTGATAAACAACGTTCCAGCAGCGTGGAACTGGCATTTTGTCGCAATCTCGTCGACATTTAACAGCCCTGTCTCTCCTCGTTTTTCTTCACTGCACCAGAGTCTCACTCTGTGAACCCTTTAATATTCTGAGCTAGAAAAAGAGTAGTAAAAATTCACTTTGAAGTGTCGGTTTTTTAATTGCAAATACAATAGTGGTTTTCTTTTTTTACAGGAGGTATACGTTCAGATTGATACACTTTGTTAATTAGAGATTCTGGTTGGCACGTGGCCGAGATCAAAGGAAAGTAACACTTTATAAATAATAAAATGGAAAATTCACCGTGTGCTCGGTCATGGTAGGCTTTCACGTCGACACGCTGCACTTGCTGCCAACGAAACAACTGTTTCAGAATAATTTGTGGCAAGGATTTGTCTTAAACGATTGTTCCATGACTCGTTTCATTGCTGGCAATAACACCTTGGTCTGTGAAAATTTCATGAACTTGGTACAATTATTTACTTGAAGTGGTTCCATTTTCCTACCATTGATAGGTATTCTTCAAATTTAGTTTTTCTTATTTTTTTTTTTTGCAGAATGAATTCCTAGAAAAAGAGAGGCAATCATTGTTATTAAGGTACATCGCGTACAACGAATTTCGGGGACAAGGACCGTCCAGTGAAATTACGTGGTTGATATTCTCAGGGACTAAGTGTTTCAACGTTTCGTGACCGGCATACCAGATCATCTGTATTACCTATTCGTTACAAAGTATATACAGTGGGTAACAAAATTATTCGCTCACCGTTTAAAACAGAATACCTCATTTAAAATTGGACCAAATGACTTGGGGGGCCCCCCAAGGTCCAGGGCCCCCATAAGAGGATTTTGCGTTTAAGAATGCAAGAAGAGTAATGTTTACTTGAATATTAATTTAAATTAGTTATACAAGCTTTAATGTTAATTTTATAAATTTTATTTGAGCTACTTTTTTTTATGTCATACATGCGAAGGGGCCCCCCTAGGACCCCCGAGGTCTCAGGGTCGGCCCTGCTAAGAATGCAAGAAGAGTAATGTTTACTTGAATATTAATCTAAATTAGTTATACAAGCTTTAATGTTAATTTTATAGATTTTATTTGAGCTACTTTTTTTTATGTCATACATGCGAAGGGGTCCCCCTAGAACCCCCGAAATCTGAGGTCCGGCCCTGTTGACCGATCTCGATGAACTTACTTGAATCTACAAAAGACATATTTTAAATTTTCATTATAGACTCGCACAAAAAGTAGAAAAATTACCCTTCTATTTTTTTTTTATATTTTCAACAAATTGTAATTTTTTAAAACGACAAAAACACATTTCTTAATAAATTAATTTGTATAGCTTCTCGAGAAATCTTAAATAATTCGGTCGAATTTTAAACGGTCTGCGAATACTTTTGCGACCCACTGTAGTCATCTTTATGGCAGTTGTACGATCGGTTCGTTTGAACCGCTGAAAATCTATACCGTACCTCTTTCTTTCGGTTATGTAAAATTGTTTTGCACGGTTCTACGATCGCTTTTACCTGTGAACGCAATCAGGAACCTGGAAATTTCGTAGACCACTGTGCAAAGTAGGCATAAAGAGATTGATGGTGAAAAATGGTGAAAGCGTATTGCCGTTGATTATATTAGAATTTGTATCGTACTAGCAACTGGATTTCGTAATCGTATCGTTATCGGAAGTTATCGTTGGTGTCAGGGATACTTGGTTACATTTCAAAATACGTTGGAACATTAATTGAGTCAGCAGAACTGAGATCACGATCTCTAGTTTCTTATTACACAATGAAAAATCTATTTTATAATTTTCTTTATTTTTCTAGATTCTAATTGCGAAGAATTTTGTCTATAGTGGTGGGGGAAACCCTGAGTGAACCTTGAGAAAATTCTAAGAGCCTCAGCTGTTAGTGTAATCAATTGGCACTATAGAAAGTGGTAGTATAGCAAGAGCCTACCCATATCTCTTCCATCAATCTAACGCTGTATCACTTCCACAGTCATAGATGAGCGAAGACCTTGCAGAAGGGTCTCCCCTAAGCTTCCTAAGCTTTCAACAGTCTCTAAAGCATGTCGACATTGCGATTTAGAGCAACGATTATGATTCAATAATCGCCACCTGTTTGATAAGTCATATTCGACCCTGTTACCCAAGCAACAGGCATAGTGCGATTGAGCAATCCATACTTACCGATCGTAACTACTCTTTCAAATGGAAACGAAGCAGCCTCGTCAGAGAAACACACTCCCCAAATGAAAGCAGAGAAAGAATCTTACGTAACAAGCAAGAAATTGTGAATTTCACTGATAGAGGGTATATGAAAAATTCGTTATTTCGATGGTAGGACTAATAGGTGGCCGGTCATTAATTAGCCTCATTAGAATCGTTACTTAACCGAGTTACGATTTCGTCGAGCGAACAAAAGGCACGATTGTTACGCGAACGTTATTCAATCACGGAGATCGAATAAGGAAGGCGTGTGTAGATTATGGACGCTTGTATTTGTGCGTTACCCAATGACCGGTCTTTGGCTGGTTACTTTCTCCCTGATGGAGAAAGACGGGCATCCGTTAAGGTGGATTGGCCTCTGAACTTCGCGAAGCCAACGTCATCTCTTCGCTCGGTTACGGAGCAACCCGTGGACAACCGTGGAAAAACCAGTTGGAATCGAGTGCAAGTGGTTTTAGAAAGTCGTTCACCACCGCTACCGTCTATGTCCGGAGCCAATGTCCTTCCGATATTGGCGAATACTCGGACCCGTCCACGCTTTCCAATTTTATTGATTCTTTGACAGTATTTTAGGCAGGTGGATGACAAATTGTTCTTCTGTAGAATTGTCTTTTAGATTTGATGATGATGGTAATTTGAATTTTGGATGATTAGGCAAACGAGTGACAGGGGACTGACCTCCTTTTCCTTAAAAATGTGGACTGACTCCATCACTATTCTGAAATTTCGAGATTGCAAAATTGTAAAATTTCAAAATTTTGTTAATGAAGGGATAAGGTTGTCTCAGGTTGAAATGGACACTGAAGGAATTCTAAAAATGAGTTAATATTTTACAATTGGGACTGACCTCCTTTTCCTTAAAAATGTGGACTGACTCCATCACTATTCTGAAATTTCAAGATTGCAAAATTGTAAAATTTCAAAATTTTGTTATTAAAGGGATAAGGTTGTCTCAAAGGATAAGGGAATTCTAAAAATGAGTTAATATTTTACAATTGGGACTGACCTCCTGTTCCTTAAAAATATGGACTGACTCCATCACTATTCTGAAATTTCAAGATTGCAAAATTGTAAAATTTTCAAATTTTGTTATTAAAGGGACAAGGTTGTCTCAAAGGATAAGGGAATTCCATAAATGAGTTAATATTTTACAATTGGGACTGACCTCCTGTTCCTTAAAAATATGGACTGACTCCATCACTATTCTGAAATTTCAAGATTGCAAAATTGTAAAATTTCCAAATTTTGTTATTAAAGGGATAAGGTTGTCTCAAAGGATAAGGGAATTCTAAAAATGAGTTAATATTTTACAATTCATCTTGTGAGGTCCTCTTCTAGATCATATGTTTAGTGGCAAGCAGATGCTGAGGAAAGAATATCCCAGGAATATCAGGATTGATTCACCCTCATTCTCTTGTTACGTGATCCTAGATGAGGGCATTGTGATCTTGAAAGTAAGAGTTCCTTTGTGTGGGAACAATGGGAAGGATATTGATCTGAAAAACGAAACAAGAGCCCCTCCTGTCCTTGATAGAGAACTAATGCCCTTGTTATTTAATCCTTGAGATTTCCATAATACCTGAGTTACCATTAATTCTGCAAATTAATCAAATTCAATTTTAAATTACCAATTACTTAAATATAAAATTACATATTTCCAAGAATACTAATTCAAAACAATTTCAGGTTCAAGGAATCACAAGTTTCCGGAAACGTTGATGTATGACTGAGGTGAATGCTCTTCCAACTTTACATTCATGCCTTCCGGCTAAAATACCGACCGACGTCAGGATGAAGAACCCGAGCGAACGTTCATCTTCTTTTAGTCCTGTTTCCTTCTAGTTCGTCGACTCTCGCCCCCCGCAATCTTGTCCTGAATCCGCGGACTTAATAGTCAACGATGATACCCCGGTGATTTTTGTTATGCTAAACGCGTATTGTTGCGTGCGATTTGGGTCAAGTCCTGCGTCACTTTTACAGGTCTTCTCAATGCCATTTGTCCTCCCAAATTATATCTCGTCTTCGAATTCGTTTAACCCACTTTTCACGTCTCTGTCGAACACTATTATAATTCAACCATTTGATCTAACTTACAATTAGAGGAATCCAGAAGGAATCTCTCTCCCTGAAGAGATCCTAGGAGGAGTCTCAAAGGAACCTAAGGAAAATCTCTAATTTTCAATTCCTAATTTATTACATCTAGATAAGTTTAAAATAATATCTGTGATATCAAGTTACAACTTACTCAACTGTTAAGTCTTATTTATAAAAGGGCAGTGGTGACTGATAGATTGAAGAAGATAGGACGGATATCCGCGATTTTCATCGTTAAAATTGAACGCTTGTTTCTTGTTGAGTTATTTAAGAAAGAGGGACGGATGTCTGCGTTATTATACTAAGTGTGCTTTTTCATGAGCAGCGTGCGTGAGTGACGCTATTTTGTATTACCAACCAGTGTCCACTTGTATAGCCTTCTTCTTTTGATCAGCTTTTCCGTTTCTATTTCACAATCCTTGCAAACTGTTACTAAATATGAGGGAAGAAAAAGGTATCTGAAGGACTTAGAATTTTGTAAGCTTGAATCATGAGGTTTAAGTTAAATTTGAATTAATATTTTAATTAGCTTGGATTAGGTCTAAATGCACCAAGTGTAAGTTAAATTTGAGTGAAACTTCTGTTAAGTCATTGCCAAGTCTTAGTTATATATTTAATTCAGCTTTTAAACTTTATTTGTAATAACAGGTTCACTGTCGTCCACATTTACACAACGTCCTTGCGTACAAGCTCAACTGTGGTAATTATTTAGCCTGTATGAGTGCACGTGCAACGTTCCTTTACATAAGCTTCGAAGAAAACCCGATGAGATCTGAATTCGTCGCAACCGGACCGTGGCGAGGAGTTAATTTCACGTGCTTTACGTCACAACCAACACTGTCACTTGAAGCTATTAAAAGTGCAACTTAGAAAATTAAAAAAATTATTACTTATCGATTAGATCTACCAATTATCATTCTTCATAACGTTGCAAACCATCAAAATGGTGCACTGGTCAGTTTCACTGTTCTTTTTTCAAAAATGAAATGGTAATTGATTTCAAGTCCTGTTCCCCAACTGGTGGCTGACTTTCTACGCCTCAAATGACTCTCTTTTTTCGAGATAGGAACACGGATCATGTAATTATAGAAACTATTTCAAAGGAAATATTTCCAGTTACTTGCAGTTGCAATTTTAGTCCTAAACGTTGCATTAGGTGTTTTACTTTAATGTACTCCATAGGATGGTCAATTTTCAATACCTGATTTATTACATGTAGATGGAACAATTTAATGATACTTGAATTCCAAGTGTAAGGTACATTCAGTCATTTGGTTTCAGATGTGGAGTAATCTGACCTGCGTGGACGATTTCCTGAACCGAGCGTTCCATAAACTAGGCCTGATAGTCGGCCGTTATCCTGGCTACTTCGTGGTTATTCCGGTTCTATTGGCCTGCATCTGCTTCACCGGCTACCAGAGGATCCATTACGAGATTGACCCGGAATACCTGTTCTCACCGACCAACGGGCCGAGTAAAACTGAAAGGGCGATCGTCGAACAATACTTCAAAGTCAACTATAGCCATCACTTTGATCTGAGCCGTATCACTAGGCCAGGTGAGCTTTGGTAGAAGGTCAAGGAACGAGGAAGCGAAGGGGAAGAATCGTTGCACTGTTTGCATTGTTTGTATATGAGATAGGAGGTCTTGGGATAGACTCTCCTTAGGTTCCTTTTAGACTCCTCCTAGGATCTCTTCAGGGAGAGGGGGATTCCTTCTGGACTGCTCCAAGGATCTCTTCAGGGAGAGGGGGATTCCTTGTAGACTCCTCCTTGGATCTCTTCAGGGAGAGGAAGATTCCTTCTGGACTCCTAGGATCTCTTCAGGGAGAGGAATATTCCTTGTAGACTCCTAGGTTCTCTTCAGGGAGGGGAAAATTCTTTTTGGACTCCTCCTAGGTTCTCTTCAGGGAGGGGAAGATTCCTTCTGGACTCCTCCAAGGATCTCTTCAGGGAGAGGGGGATTCCTTGTAGACTCCTCCTTGGATCTCTTCAGGGAGAGGAAGATTCCTTCTGGACTCCTAGGATCTCTTCAGGGAGAGGAATATTCCTTGTAGACTCCTAGGTTCTCTTCAGGGAGGGGAAAATTCTTTTTGGACTCCTCCTAGGTTCTCTTCAGGGAGGGGAAGATTCCTTCTGGACTCCTCCAAGGATCTCTTCAGGGAGAGGGGGATTCCTTGTAGACTCCTCCTTGGATCTCTTCAGGGAGAGGAAGATTCCTTCTGGACTCCTAGGATCTCTTCAGGGAGAGGAATATTCCTTGTAGACTCCTAGGTTCTCTTCAGGGAGGGGAAAATTCTTTTTGGTACTGCTCCTAGGTTCTTTTCAGGGAGGGGAAGATTCCTTCTGGACTCCTCCTAGGTTCTCTTCAGGGAGAGGAAGATTCCTTCTGGACTGCTCGTAGGATCTCTTCAGGGAGAGGGGGATTCCTTCTGGACTCCTCCTAGGTTCTCTTCAGGGAGGGGAAAATTCTTTTTGGACTCCTCCTAGGTTCTTTTCAGGGAGAGGAAGATTCCTTTCAGACTCTTCCTAGAATCTCTCCAGGGAAAGAAAGATTCCCCTAGACTCTTCTTAAGTTCCCCTAGGACCTGAGCTCCTCCCTTACCTAATAGAATCATAGAATATCAACATTGTGTATTAATATAAAAAAAGGAATTAGCATAGCATTGTCGGTGTTATGAAGACGAAGGCTCGTCAAAGTTCAAGGAGAAAGTGCATCAACTTCCCAGACTTAATCGTCGCTCGTTATTTCTTCGTTTACATTGTCGCCGCTGTATAATTTTCTTCCATTCTCTGGGTCTCGATGAATCAAGCGTGCTTTGCCATTAACCGAGACGCGAAAACTTTCACGTTTCATTGAGCCGTCGCTAATTAACCCCTGACAGACAAATGTCAGTGGGTGGTTCCTCTTTATGATCAAACGAGTTCCTTAGAAATGGTTTAATAACGCTTCCTTCCCTCTGCGACAGGTCGATTTGGACACGTGATCGTAACGACAAAGGACGGGGACAATAATTTGTTGAGAAAAGCGGTGTTCGACGAGCTGCTGGAGTTGGATGGACTTATCAAAAGCGCGAAAGCTGTCTTCGAGGGTGAAGAGTTCACCTACAGTCAGATTTGTGCCAGGTGGTTGGATACTTGCTTCAGCAACAACATTTTGGACCTGCATCATGTGATAGAGTATGTATTGTCATGACTGGCCACTATTGGATACAATATAAGAATTGTAAAGGAGACTGAGGGTCATCTGAGATTTTTAGAGCTGCATTATATCGTTTCCATGGATTATACTTTCAGGCTTACATGAATTTTAGACTCCAACTGTAGCTAAGAAAGCAAAATACTAGACTGAAATATTTTCCCAAATTATCATTCGTTAAATTCATCTTCAATCTAATTTTAATGAGACATTGACCCATTAAACATTGTATCATTTACACGTTCTGGCATCTAAGTAGTCGGTAGCACTTTCTAGGGATGTGGAGAATAGAGAGCTGAACCTGACGTTCCCAGTGACGTTGAATCCCGTCACCTGGGACATCCACCTGCTACCGGTGTTCTTCGGAGGAAGCGTGATCAACGAGGACCTGATCATCGAGTCCGTTCCATCGTTGCAGCTCGCCTACTTCCTTGCCGCTGACAATGCACGTCAGGATGCGATGTAAGCAAACCATGATAAAGCCATTAACCGATGAGAATCAGTGATAGCAGCGATCTCCCAGACAGATCATCTTCAAATACATCATCTCTCTTTGTTTTGCAAAACAGCGGAGCAACCTGGGAAGAAGCTTTCCTCGACGCCTTGAAGAAGGTCGAGGATGAGGGTGTCTTCAAGCACATAGCCACAGCCAGGTTCGCCTCCAGGACCTTGGAATTGGAGCTGGAGGAGAACACCAAGACAATTGTCCCTTACTTCTCCAGCACGTTCATTCTGATGGCTCTTTTCTCAGTGGTCACTTGTATGATGACTGACTGGGTACGCAGCAAGCCTTGGTTGGGTCTTCTTGGAAACATCTCTGCAGCAATGGCTACTGTTGCTGCCTTTGGGCTGTGCATTTACCTGGGTGTAGACTTCATTGGTCTCAATTTGGCTGCACCGTTTCTGATGATTGGTGAGTGGCCATCTATATACCAACTTCAATGTTTAACCTAAACTTCATTAAATACCTAACATAAAATACTTTAGACACTAGGATGAAGCCTATATGTACACTTGGCTGTAGATTAGACTCTGTTTCTCAGGGGAAGTGCTCTTCCCCAATGTAGGGGAACTCTCTTTGGCTCTCCTAAGGTTCTCCCTAGGCTCTAAGGTTCTCTATAACTGGAAGGCAAATATAATAACTCAGATTGCAGCCAAGTGTACAAGAAGAGCCACAACACAACGCTCGTTGATGAAATCCTTACGCCACTCGGTTGTCCAACCTCTCGGACTCGATCGAGTGGCCGCGAACGACTCGTCAAATGTCGTGGAATCACGAACGATCCAACGTCGGTGATTTGCGTGTAAAGCGGAAGTCCCAGCCAAGACTTTTTCCTTCCATCGTTGCGCTCGCTTGATTACCAACCATGATTGCGTTGCTCGCATATGATCAATTTCGAAACTGTTCTTTGTGTCGCGTGTTGTCATTGACGAGGCTCCAGCCGTGCATTGTGCTAGGTAACTGGTCGTTGAAGAGGAGGGTACCAGACATAACTGTTTATTTTACTTCTGTGTAGTTGATTGTACTGCTTATATGTTGAGCCCCATGCTGGTTCTTAATTTAATTAAGTCCAGGTGGTGACAAACATCTTCAATTTTGTATAATCAAATAATTTGTTAAAGAAAAGAGATGTCAAAGTATTATGTTATCAATGCAAGGTAACATTTTTAAAAATTGATCTATTATATTCTTAATAATTATATCAGCAAAGTTTCATTTAAATATTAATGAAACATTGAACCAGGGGATTAAAGTTCAGCTTCTTCGAGCTGTTCGCTATGCCATTCCTCGATGGTGACGCAGCAAAGATTTCCGGCATGGAAATTGTTCGTCCTTGCGTGAAATTGAATAAACGACGGTTATAAATCGACGTCCAAATGTAGCAGACGGTCGTCCCAAGCTGAATCACGAATAAAACTAACCATTCTGATTCACTGCGTGCGCTAAACTGCCGCCTCGTTATTGCGATAATAGCACCTTGTTCGTTTTCCTGCCAAAGGGATGTGCGATTTTCTCTTCTGACTCATCCCATAGTCTCTTTTATACAACCCTTTGTTTCTCTTTTGTACATCATAATTGATCCAAATTGATTAATTCCACAAAACAAAACATAAAGAAACTGGGCCGGCCTTGAGATTTCGGGGGTCCGAGGTACTTTACATATACGACATGATAAAAAGTACCTCAAATAAAATTTATAAACTTAACATTAAAGCTTGTATAACTAATTTAGATTAATATTCAAGTAAATATTACTCTTTTTGCATTCTTAGACGCAAAATCGTCTTATAGGGGCACTGGACCTTGGGGGGCCCTAAGGGGCCGCATAGTCTGCCTAGGCCCAGAGCCGGCCCTGTAAAGAAATTAATAAAATACAAAGTGCTTTGTATTTTTAAAATGTGGAATTAATTACTTTGTATTTTATTAATTTCTTTATAGGGCCGACCCTGGGCCTAGGCAGACTAGGCGGTCCTCTAGGGCTCCCCAAGGTCCAGGGCCTCCATAAGACGATTTTGTGACCAAAGTGCTTTGTACTTTTAAAATGTGGAGTTAATTACTTTGTATTTCATTAATTTCTTTATAGGGCCAACCCTGGGCCTAGGGAGGATAGGCGGCCCCTAGGGCCCCCCAAGGTCCAGGGCCTCCATAAGACGATTTTGCGACCAAAGTGCTTTGTAATTTTAAAATGTGGAGTTAATTACTTTGTATTTTATTAATTTCTTTATAGGGCCGACCCTGGGCCTAGGCAGAATAGGCGGCCCCTGAGGGCCCCCCAAGGTCCAGGGCCTCCATAAGACGATTTTGCGACCAAAGTGCTTTGTAATTTTAAAATGTGGAGTTAATTACTTTGTATTTTATTAATTTCTTTATAGGGCCGACCCTGGGCCTAGGCAGAATAGGCGGCCCCTGAGGGCCCCCCAAGGTCCAGGGCCTCCATAAGACGATTTTGCGACCAAAGTGCTTTCTATTTTTAAAATGCGTAGTTAATTACTTTGTATTTTATTAATTTCTTTATAGGGCCGACTCTGGGCCTAGGGAGAATAGGCGGCCCCCTAGGGCTCCCCAAGGTCCAGGGCCTCCATAAGATGATTTTGCGACCAAAGGGCTTTCTATTTTTAAAATGCGCAGTTAATTACTTTGTATTTTATTAATTTCTTTATAGGGCCGACTCTGGGCCTAGGGAGAATAGGCGGCCCCCTAGGGCTCCCCAAGGTCCAGGGCCTCCATAAGATGATTTTGCGACCAAAGTGCTTTGTGTTTTTAAAATGTGGAGTTAATTACTTTGGTCATAACGATAGCAAATTAATATTATTCAAGTATTGCAATTAATTATAGTAATTATTTGTTAACAGGAATTGGAATAGATGATACATTTGTAATGCTGGCAGCCTGGAGACGAACCAGTATACTGAAACCGGTACCTGAAAGGATGGCCGCGACTCTCAGCGAGGCTGCTGTGTCCATCACGATCACCTCTCTCACCGATATGATTTCCTTTTTCATTGGGATACTATCGCCTTTCCCTTCGGTGCAGATTTTCTGTATCTATTCAGGTGGCTATCGAGATTCACTGTACTTACAGAAATGAAATTTCAAATCTACACCCAATGAATTAAAACTGATACTTCCTTCTTCCGTTCAAGGTTTTGCGGTGGTTTTCACCTTTGTCTTTCACCTGACGTTCTTCACTGGCTGCGTGGCGATCAGCGGCTACTGCGAGCAGAAGAATCTCCACAGCATCGTCTGCTGCAAAGTGCAGCCTCTATCGAAATCCTGTGAGTAACTTCCTGCTTCGTTCAGCGGGAAACGAAACGCGCCAGGAATTGCGCAGAAATATTCGAAATTGGAATAAAACGTCGAAACGGTTTTCCCTGTTGCGCAACCGTACGGGAATTTACCTGGTCGGTAAAAGTAACCAGTCCTCCAATGATCATTTCGGTTACTGCATTCGACGTAATCATCGTATTTACGCGTACGATCGAAGAAGAGCTCACCCGGAATACTTTCACGGGCCACGTTGCCACCGATGTATCGTTTACTGTTTTTGTTTGAACTTTCATTTATTTCCATCGCCACACTGATACTTTCTACCTTAAACCACTTAGCCAGCCGAGCCTTGGCTCTGTGTAAAATCTGGAAGTATACAGTGTGTCCCATGGATTCAATTTTGAAACGAACACTTTCATACGTAAAAGTGGCATGAAATTTAGAAACGAAAAATGAAAACATTGTATTTTATTTATTGCTGCTTCAATTGGTTATCATCAGAGGATTAAGTGTAATAAAATGAAATTGTGCATAGTAGTGCATGGGTCACACCTGCATCCATCGACTTTCTCCAGGACTGAATCTTGTCATCGAACCACTTTTCACGGTTTTTCTCAATGGTTCTGTGGGAAAGTCGTGGATCGAGCTGCTTAAAGTTACACCGCTGTTCGTGGTTACGTCAGAAAAGCATGGCGGGTTACGTTCGAACAGCGTTAATTCGTTAGATCACTAGGTATTACGTAAAGGTACCGCTTTCTCCGGGCGCTGTCAACCTCGTGTTATGAACAATGTCATCTCGAGAAACAATTTACGTAACCGTCTTCTTCGAACCGAAAAGACCATAGGATTTAGTGTTTACCGACTCGGTCATTTATGGAACCAATACCTTTGCACCACTAGTGGTGAAAGTTCCCATTTCTTTGAGCCATCCGACAGGTAAGCTTGGACCAAAGATGGTACAGCGCGATTCCACGAAGCCTTATCGCTGTTAGAAAATAGTTGAATTTTTCCAAGAACTGTGATACCTTGAAGAGACAAGATTCCAAAGTGTTTGCATTGATATTCCCTTCTGGAGGCTAATTAATAATCAACAGGGATCCCCTAGTGGTCAAAGCATCTTGGAAACGGTTGCTGCTCAATTGTTCCCTTTGATTTAGTCATTCAAACGTACGTGACTCGCGTTATGATGCAATTAGCATCGGTGATTGGCGCGTGACATTGTACCAACAATCACTGTGTCACCTTTGTTCCCTCTGTAAGATGATCTCATCAGTTGCCCTCTTGGATCACTTTCGGTTTCACGATTTTGAGAAATAATATTCATTTGTTTCCAGCGCACCGATCTTGGTTCTACAGAGCATTATGCACCGGTGGAGTGGACCCTGACGACCCGTACAATCCTGTGGACAATCCTGAACACGGATGCATGAGCTGGTTCCGCGATTACCTCGCCTCTGCGTTGAACTGTCGACCGGTCAAGGCGGTGATCATCTTTATTTTCGGTTGCTACATCGTTGGCGCCCTCTATGGACTGACGACTCTTCGAGAAGGCTTGGATCGTCGCAAGCTTTCCAAGAACGATTCTTATTCGATTATTTTCTACGACCGACAGGATTACTACTTCAGGGAGTTCCCCTACAGAATACAGGTAACGGGGGATCATAACCTAACCCTTCTGATGTCTGCTAGATGAGTCTAGGGAATAACAAATAACTGAAACTAATGCTATCCTTATAACTGAGACTCTAATGATCTTCATATTTTCCTATCTCAGGTGGTGGTCAGCGGGGAATACAACTACAATGACCCAGTGGTTCAACAGCAAATGGAGAACCTGACCAGAGCATTGGAGGCCAGTAAATACATCAGCAGCGCTCCAATTTATACAGAAAGCTGGCTGCGAACTTTCCTCAGTTATGTAAACAATAATTTAAATGAAGTGGACGTCAAGGATGAAAAGAGCTTCATAAAGGTACTGAAGGACACCTGGCTCTCTCCGAAGAACAGTTTCTCTCTGGACGTGAAATTCGACGAGCAGGAAGAGCACATCATAGCTAGTAGATTCCTGATCCAAGCGGTGAATGTGAGTGGGACCAATCAGGAGAAGGATATGGTGAAGGAGCTGCGTCGAATTTGCACTGACTCTCCTCTGAACGCCAGTGTATTCCACCCTTACTTCGTCTTCTTCGACCAGTTCGAGCTGGTGAAGCCTACCAGCATCCAGTGCATGGTATTCGGTGCTCTGATCATGATGTTGATCAGTTTCATATTCATTCCCAACGTGTTATGTTGTCTTTGGGTCGCTTTCTGCATTATTTCCATCGAGCTGGGCGTCGCTGGCTACATGGCCCTATGGGACGTCAATCTGGACAGCATATCCATGATCAACTTGATCATGTGCATAGGCTTCAGCGTCGACTTCACTGCTCACATCTGTTATGCCTACATGAGCTCCAAACAGAAATCACCTGATGACAGAGTGAAGGAGAGCTTGTACAGCCTTGGTTTGCCAATAGTCCAAGGCGCTGCATCAACCATTCTAGGGCTCATAGCCTTGCTGCTTGCTGGGACCTATATATTCATGGTGTTCTTTAAGATGGTCTTCCTGGTGATCTTCATAGGAGCCATGCATGGCATGTTCCTCCTACCCGTTCTGCTGTCTCTCTTCGGTCCTTCCTCCTATTCCAACGAGAGGATAGAGAGCGAGAAGGCTCAGCAGCAAAAGAAAATGCAAGAGAAAGATCTCTCCTCGAAGCTCCAGCAGCCCTATGTGATCCCTCACCCCACTCTGTCGTATTATCAGCCATCAGGAGCTGCGAAGAGTCTTCAGGGAAGTCCTGCGACCAGTCTGGTCGCGTTCGAGGAAAGGGATCTTGGTCTAGGCACCAGCGAGGACAGCAACTCGACGGAGAGTGGGTCCTCGCAGAGCAGGAGACGGGAGGGCCAGGGGGAACAGGAGAACCAAAGGCGTCACGACGTCTGGAGGAGATCCATAGGGGTTCTCTATGGCATGTCCCAGTTTCAGACAGCCGCGCACCCTGCTGCACCACCTCCAGACTATGCTGGCACGTTGCAAGAGCTGCAGGCTGATCAGGACCGACGAGCCGTGAGGACGGTGCCCTATGTCGGCTCGCACCCGGCCTATCGGCCCGCCAATCAGCTGCACAGGGATCACAGGAGAAGCAGGTCGTACCACAACCTCCAGCACCCGTCGAGGTACCTATCCGACCCACGGTATCCTTAGAGCGACCGCTGAGCTCTGTGAGCCATAAGCAGCACCCGGCGTGATAGGACCCTGCGGTGCATTTCTCTTCGGTATTCTTCAAGTTTGTGACGATTACCTATGAAGAGGATTCGGGACCAGGATTTCGGTGATCGTTCATATCACTAGGATACAGTCTTACCGAAGAACGTACGATTTCTGACGCAAGTTAACTCGAACCAAACACACCAAATGAAAAATTGTGACTATGCTCTAGGTAAGTGCTGTCCATGGGAGGGACGGATGCTCTCTGGGACTCGTGGGGTGCACATGGGACCAAATTAGTGGACTTCACGGCTAGTGCGTGTCGAGAGTGAATGGGAAAGTGTTTGGCTTTATTAATGTTCCCTGTTGAGACTCTCATGGACAGCACTGCTCTAAGACGTCCATGCTCGGACTAGACCAGGACACTTTGAAGTTAGGATAGGGTCGGTATCATGGACGATTATCGAGCATCGACGAACAGTATGCTTAGAGAAGCCTTCAATCGAGGAAAGGGAATACTCGTCTGTTTTCTATCTTCTTTCCCCCCCGGTGTGTCCCTCGTTTGGGACTCATTCAGAGATTCCGGGGGGAAAGAAGCGAGGAAAGCTTCTCGAAGCTGATAATCTGTAAATATCTTTTGGCGAGTTTGCTGAAGGTGCACGGAAGGGGTGAGAACTCGATGGATCTCGAGCTGCATGCTCCGAGGAAACTTGGAAAGCGGATTTCGTCGGAGCGCATCTCTTTTCGAGGAATTCAAGTGGAGCTTTAAACGAGCCAGTTCGGTTGTTCGAAGAGACTTGTTTGCACAACCGAGAAATATAAATCTTTAGCGCTCAACGTGTACGACGTTAAGTTCCTTCTGAGTCTCATAGGAGCGTAGAATCGTATCGTTGTACAATTTTGAAAAATGTCTTGTGCTTTGTTTTTTAAAAATGTACACCGATGTGCTTGTAATAATGAGCGAATTTATTACAGTTTTTACTCGGAATCTTTTGTCAGCTAGTTCTATTATAGCATCGAACTCGTTCCCTTTCAATTATTCTTAGGATTTCTTATCGTGCGAGCATTTAATAAGAGTAGCATGTAATGGGCGGGAATATACTGTTATCAAGTCACGTGGACGTTTAAAATATTTCAAAATTTGATTTGAACACGTTGGTTCCATTCCTTTTTTTAAGTATAATTTCTGCCATTGTATAATATCCATAATAGATTTTATGAGCAGTGGTAATTGAAGTTACGTGACTTGATAATGATGTGGTACCGTTTTAACAATCGTTCAAGAAAAGAACGACCACTTGCTCAATGGAAATCAAAACCAAAAGCGCAACAATAGGGAGATGAATCCTTCGACTGTTAAATTCCTTTTTGAATTCGTTTCTCCGTCCTCGTGAATAAAAAATGAATCTTTTTCAAATGTAAACCTGATTAAGCGCTAGTGAAGCGTGTCGTGCCTTATCAAAGTGTGTTTTAAACAATTAAATAAAACAAAAAAATATTCTTAGTTGAAATGTAAGAATGGAAGAAATAAAATTGATTGAGTCCTGATAAGTTTATCGGTCCTAACATTTTTCTTGGGATCTAATGATTATATACGTGTCTTTTTAATTTTCGAATTACGCGCTTTAATATAGATTACCAACAGAGCAAAATCGTGTAAAGAGGTTTCACGACTTTGCTGTTAGATGGCGCTGCAGGCACCATTGTTGAGAGTTCAGGATACCGACGTCAATAAAATATTCTTTTTTCAAATTTATTGCTTTCAATGTAATAGAGGGCTTTCGAATGAAACATATAACAAATTTAAAAGAGTTAGGAAGCACAAATAAGTGGAAAAAAGTCAGATAGTAGGAGAAAAATGAGAAAAATTTAATTCCATTAGTACCACCTTTTCGCCGCTAGATGGACGCTAATTTTTTAGTCCATGAAACGCAGCGAAGTAAAGTTGGCGCGGAATATTAATATTTCTTAACAATTAATTGCTCCCCAGTTGCTCCTCGGAATCTAAAATTTCTCCGGTCGTAAATATATTTAACGAGATATTTACAAATAAAAAAGCAGAAATTTGTTATCCGCCTAGCGTGTTCGAGGGTGCACAAAAACTGGTATGGCGAAGGATGAAAGAAGAATCGAACCCTTTGCAACCCTTTTCCTGCCTCTTCACGACTCGCTGATGCATGAAACACAAACTTTAAAGTCGACAAACACCTTCTGGGATATTGCATACCTCCTCCTGGATAATCGATGCTCCTCAAAGGGTCTGTATCGATACGAAGATCATCTTGGTATCTTTTCGTGTATCCTCCAGAAATCCTGTTTGAATATCGTATATTGCCCTAGGTCCTTATACAATGTGCATCAGAAATTTTTCAAATGGTATCTTCAAACTTGTAGAATAACTTATAATATTTAAAACAAGAAAACTTGACTCAAAGTTCCATTTCAATTTTCGAACCTAACCTATATTTAAGTTGCATCTAACCTTAACTTAAATGACCAAATTATTTTTGAGATATTATTTCGGTTTTAAAGTGATTGTCATACAGTGGCCAATAATTTGCCCTCCGCGGGATGAGAACCTTTCAAAGGGTAGCACTAATTTAATCGAACGTCTGCATCTAATTTCGTGCACCGCAAGCCGTTGATCGGACAAACTGATTTGCTTTCACCTGGAGGATGAACATCCCCCTGGTAATCCATTCCTATTCGAGGTCGTGGCTGCTGATATCATCGAATGAACATCATTCGACGGCACACGAAGGCAACCTAACAACAGGACGCAAACGTCAACAACGTTATTGGACATGGGATGTCCAATCAAACCTGTATTCATGGGACAGTAGTAGGTTGTTCGCCTCTGCGTTTGCAATTTCCCACCACGTTTTCGTGTATCGTCGATTTTTTTATTCATACACAAATCCTCCCATTTCTCCTCCACTAATTTCCAGTCGAATTCTTTATTTGTTAAATCAATCAGCAGTACAAGTCCTAGGAGTAACGAACGCGCGAGGAGAATCAAGTCGAACAACCGAGTTTCTGTCTTTCGAACAAGCTAACTGTTCCCGAACAGTCGAGCAGAATTTCAGATTTGAATCCAGCAGGCGGGTAATTCGATCAGAGAGAGCCACTCGTTTCCCCGTGAATTCAGGTTGCTTCAAAGGATGCTCTGATTGTCCAAGTTCTCGTAGCTACCCCCCAGTCCCCACGCCCCTTCTACTGTCCACTTGATGAGACTATACCTTACCTATAGTCCGGCGAATTATTAATAGGAACAATGTCGATGGTTATGTAGTCGGCGCCGCCGCGGTTCCTCCAGGAGTGAGTTATCGCTGGAGAATCCTTGGCACAAGTTTCCAGCTGGGAGAAACCTGACGAGTATCCTGACAAGCAGCCTGTTGCGTGACCTGACCGATCAATATCTGCACGGGCGCAACACCCGCGACTATTCTTCCTATCTTTCCAACCAAATGCCTCCCGTTTCACCCTGCTAGCCGTTGTGTAACCCCAAAGAGTTTCCGAGTACATAGCGACCTGTGCCAAGCTGTTTGAATTAGGATTATGCAAATGTTCTGTATGTTTGTTAAAAAGTTAGGTGATAGGAGATGTTTCCAAGCGCAGTAGCTGTGTAATATTAGAAGATAGGAGGATAAAAAGTATATAGAGGGCGTTTGGATCAGGGCCTACAGGTGGCCCATCGGCAGGGGCATGTAGCAGCCTCCTGCTTTGCATTGGGAGGTAGTTGAAGTGTTCCTTTCTTATGGAAAATTAGTTATAAGGTAAATAGGATGGGGGCATATGAGATAGGAGTGCATAGAGGGTGTTTAGATCAGGGCCTACAGGTGGTCCATCGGCAGGGGCATGTAGCAGCCTCCTGCTTTGCATTGGGCGGTGATTGAAGTGTTCCTTTCTTATGGAAAATTAGTTATAAGGTAAATAGGATGGGGGCATATGAGATAGGAGTGCATAGAGGGCGTTTAGATCAGGGCCTACAGGTGGTCCATCGGCAGGGGCATGTAGCAGCCTCTTGCTTTGCATTGGGAGGTAGTTGAAGTGTTCCTTTCTTATGGAAAATTAGTTATAAGGTAAATAGGATGGGGGCATATGAGATAGGAGTGTATAGAGGGCGTTTAGATCAGGGCCTACAGGTGGTCCATCGGCAGGGGCATGTAGCAGCCTCCTGCTTTGCATTGGGCGGTGATTGAAGTGTTCCTTTCTTATGGAAAATTAGTTATAAGGTAAATAGGATGGGGGCATATGAGATAGGAGTGCATAGAGGGCGTTTAGATCAGGGCCTACAGGTGGTCCATCGGCAGGGGCATGTAGCAGCCTCTTGCTTTGCATTGGGAGGTAGTTGAAGTGTTCCTTTCTTATGGAAAATTAGTTATAAGGTAAATAGGATGGGGGCATATGAGATAGGAGTGTATAGAGGGCGTTTAGATCAGGGCCTACAGGTGGTCCATCGGCAGGGGCATGTAGCAGCCTCTTGCTTTGCATTGGGAGGTAGTTGAAGCGTTCCTCTTTTATGGAAAATTAGTTATAGTTAAAATAGGATGGGGGCACATGAGATAGGAGTGCATAGAGGGCGTTAGGTGTAAGGCCTACAGGTGGCCTATCGATAGGGGCATCTACCAGCCTCCTGTCTCACTCTACTGCTGTTTACTAAAGCGCCTCCATGGTTTCTACCATTTTCACTTTACTGTAGTCTCTCTAATCAAGATTCTACCTTCGACAACCATCTGCACATTACATTTGCACCTTTAGAATCAGCGGCAAATGTCTTCCCACACACATCGACCGGTAAGCCGAGGGTGAATGGGAGGAAGATTGTCTAGTGCTGCAGCTTTAAGTCAGCTTTTAACATGAAAATGTGAAGCGTGCTTTTAATGCACGATGTTATTTGTTAAATGAACCATTTAGTATATTTTCCTCGTCGGGAATAATTACGTAGCCAAGGAGCTTGACCCGCTTTTTTCACGTTGACGTCAAAACCTCTGTTCGGTTTCCAACGACGTCCGGGAATATCTGTTTCTTCGTGAAAAATATTGCGGTCCCGTTTCGAAATACGTAAGTTTACGTTGAAAACTTTATGTTTATGTCGTGGGTTGTATTAAACAAGAACTATCATTCTGACTGCACGATCGTGGTGTAATCGAACTAACTACAAGCTCGGGGGAGTTACCTATTTCTACCAACTTCTCTCCGAGAGGTTTGAGGTGACGAGGAAACATCGTTGGCTAGAGGAAAGCATCGCTTACCAAGGTACAAAGGGTTGCTTACGAAGACGTAACCCGAAACCACGAAAATCTAGCGAATTTAAACGCAAGTCTCGGCTTTCAAACAACAGCTTTGACCAGAAACTAAACTCCCTACTTGGCAAGACGAAAGCGGACTTCGTTGCTTACATAAGTTCGGCAATCTTCACTTAGTACCCTGAAGTTCGTGATTTTTTTTTATCAAGAACTCGTAAACTGTACTTATAGTCCCATAAACGTATAGTCCTAATGTTATTAACACCGTTATTGTTGGCTATTCGTTATAATTAGTGTTCAGCTACGAAAATTGAGTTGTTGACGTAATATTATTAGCGTTGCTTAAAGCTGTACCCAGATAGCTGGGTATCGAATAGGGTTAGAACGGCAGGACCGATGTTAACGTCAGCTATTCTTTCCCAACGGTAAACCGTTATCTGAGAATATGTCAATTCCAATAATTGGAGGTTCCTGATAACCCCGCTTTGCTGAGAAGCCTGTGGCGGTAGCGTTTATTAGCTAGAATTTGAGGATGCAACCACAGAACTGTCCTCTGACAGGAACGCTGATATACTGCACCAGTAGGTATGCATCTGTGATAGTGTTTCCATTGAACTTTATAGTGAAATTTTAGTCTTGGATGGTGCAAAAAAAGGAACCGTAAGTCTTTAGTGGATTGGCGTGAGAGAAATTGGAGATAAAAAGTAAAATGAAGAAAAGTTCTTTGCCGAAGTGGATAAGGTGGCTGACTGTGATTGATAGGAACTGGGAAACGTGAGTTCAAGTCCCCGGTTAGGTCAAGATTTTTTCTAGAGATTTTAATGCTAGTAAAATAGTGTAATAGTGATGAAAAGTGTTCTAGTAATTTTTCATACTGATTAAAAGTGTTCTAGTAATTTTTCATAGTGATGAAAAGTGTTCTAGTAAGTTTTCCCTGTGGGTGGGGAGTAGAATACACCCACAGTAACCCCTGCTTATCGTAAAAGGCGACTAAAAGGGGACCCTTCGCTCCACTAGGTTTCTAGAATTCCACTAGAATAATTGTGTTAATCCTAGTGAGAAAAGGAAAAATTATCGGAGTGGGATCCTAAGGGCACTAGGGGAATTTTCCCACATTTGTAAGTCCTACACTATTGTAGTAACATTGAAAGAAAATAGATAGAAAAAAAAGTTTCAATTAAACGTAACAAAAGCTAGAACATGCCATGAAACTTATAGAAGAAGAAGGGGTTTTTATATCGAGCCCTGAAGAACTGATCGCACCGTGGAGAAACATAAATCGTCAGGTAATAAACAGCATTA